GGTAGTGATGGTGTCGGTGATGACGATGATGATGATGATGATGATGGTGGTTGCGATGATGATGCTGATGGGAATGATGATGGTGATGATGGTGTTGATGATAATGCTGATGATGGTGATGATAATCATGGTAATGACGATGATTGTGATGATGATGGTGATCTTGGCAGTGATGATGCTGATGTTGCTGATGATGATGATGATGATGATCATGATGACCATGGTGATGACAATGACAATGATTATCACGATGGTGATGATGATGACGATGATAAAGATGATGAGGCTGATGATGATGGTGATGTGTATGGTGATGGTGATGCTGATGATCATGCTGGTGATGATGATGATGATGATGATGCTGGTGATGAGAATGCTGATGATTGTGATGATGATGATGATGCTGGTGATGATTATGGTGGTGGTGATGATGATGACGATGACGATGACGACGATGATGACGATGTTGACGGTGATAGGGGATGCTGATGATCATGATGATGATGATGCTAATGATGATGTTCATGGTGGTGATGATGATGATGATGATAATGATGATAATGGTGGTGGTGATGGTGATTGAGATAGTGATGGCGACGGCGATGGTGATGATGATAAGTATGATGATGGTGTTGACGATGATGATGATGATGATGATGATGATGATGATGATGATGATGATGATGATGAGTCGATGGTGATGGGACGATGATAATGCTGATGATTGTGATAATGATAATGATAATGATGATGATGATGATGATGATGATGATGATGATGATGCTGATGATACGATGATGCTGGGGAGAAGGAGGAGGACGAGGAGGACGAGGGGGGGGGTGGGAGGGCTTCGACGCTTTCGCCCGTTTGGGCCTCCTCGGAGGCCCTCGTCGCCACGGTCAGGTCCGCCCCAGAGTCGTGGTCAGAACGCACCCCCTGGGGAGGTCCCAGGAGTGGCGGTCCAAGGCACAAAGCAGACACCCTCGGAGGTCCGCGCAGATTTCTTGGGTCGGCGCTGGACCCCCCTTCCTCCTCCTCCTCCTCCTCCTCCTCCTCCTCCTCCTCCTCCTCCTCCTCCTCCTCCTCCTCCTCCTCCTCCTCCTCCTCCTCCTCCTCTCTCCTCCTCCTCCTCCTCCTCCTCCTCCTCCTCCTCCTCTTCCTCCTCCCTCCTCCTCCTTCCTCCTCCTCCTCCTCCTCCTCCCCTCCTCCTCCTCCTCCCTCCTCCTCCTCCTTTCCTCCTCCTCTACTTTCCTTCCTCCTCCTCCTCCTCCCCCTCCTCCTCCTCCTCCTTCCTCCCCCTCCTCCTCCTCCTCCTCCTCCTCCTCCTCCTCCTCCTCCTCCTCCTCCTCCTCCGCGCGCCATTGGATCCAGCGCAGACCCAAGAGATCCGCCCAGACCTCCGAAATATGATCCTTCTGTAGTTTTTCCCCCATGTCCGCCACGGCGGTCTCCAGGCGCCGCCTCTCCCTGTAGGCCTGACGCTTGCTAACTGCTGCGCGAAATGCTCGAGGAGGATCTCGATCATCCTCGATCGGCACTCGATTCGACGATCGATCTTCGATCGACGTTGTCGATCCGAGGATCGAGGATTTAAGTGCTTGGGGCATTAAGATAGGGGCCCGACCACAAGAAACCTTCCACAAGAAATCCAACCCTGAGACCCAAGGACGTCCACTGATTTTTGCAATGGGGACGTCACGCTTTCCAGTGCAGAACCCTCGAAATCCTGGAAACCCAGGGCACCCTGGAGGCAAGCAGGGTGTTTCTTGGCATGGGCCTCCACTGTATTTGAGTGCTTGGGGCATTAGGGGGACCTCGTGGAGGGCCTTCGGAGGCCTCCAGGAGCTGTGGGGGGCCGTCCGGCAACCTCTGGGGACCTCCGGGGGGGGGGGGGGGCAGAGGAGCCGGGGCGGCGCCAAGACTCGCGAGAAGGCCTGCTGCAGCTGCTCCTCCAGGTCCTCGGTGTCCTCCGCGATCCTTCGCGGGTGGTCCTTGTGGGAGGGTTCGAGCTGACTACCAACTGACTACCTACCAGACCACCCCAACTCAACCCGAAGACCCGAATTTCGGGTCAGGGGGGGTACGGGCTCCACACATGTTTTTTCCATGTGCCCCGACGCGCCCCCCACTGGCAAGGGAGGGCAAATCGAGGCCTTCGGGCTGCGTTGGGGTGGTCTGGTGGGCGGCGACAAACATCCCCCCAGGGCGACGTTCCCCCAGTGAGGCGTCGCAGGTGCCACGGTTCCAGCCACCGCGGGCACCAAGAACCTGGCCTCCGGGCGTCGCAGGACCGGCCCTGGAGACCCTTCTGCCAGGGGACGCCTGCTCTGGCAGGGCAGAGCGCGGCATGTGCCAGCACCAGTTTTCGGAGGCCCACGCGGGCTTTTCCTCGGGCCGGCGCCGGGGGGCTCAGCGCCGACCCAAGAGATGCGCGCGGGACCCCGGAAGCTCACGCTCCTGCCGTTCTGCCTTCCCCGGCTCTCCAGGGATCGGGGATGGACAGACCCCCCTTTGGTAAAACGTGGTTTGGTGAAAACGACCTGAGGCCCAAACCTGGCGGGCGCAAACCTGGAAAGTAACGGCCACGGCGCCCTCTCGAGAACCGAAAACGGACAATTCACTGATCGACGTGTCACTGTTGGGGGTTCTGTCCACCCCCGAAGGGAACGCCTGCCCCGGGGGGTGCGCTCCGACCCGCCCTCGGCGGCGCGCCAGGGGGGGGGGGGAGGCAGCGAGAGCGAGAGCGCAGGCCTTCTCGGGAGGCGGCGGGGCTGCTCGTAAGCCCTCCGGGCTTTCCGAGACGCCCCCAGGAAGCGGAGCTCGGGAAGGTCCCCCGGGGGAGAGGAGGAGGAGGAGGAGGAGGAGGAGGAGGAGGAGGAGGAGGATTCTATTCTATTCTATTCTACCGCTATGCGTGGTGACCTGCAGCTAGGCGGGGCACGCTGGGCCAATTCACAAATCAGGGAATCTTCCTCCAGACTTAGGAGGCAATCCCTTCTTCAGACGGCTGAGCACTTCGTGGCCAGCGCGGGTGGGTGGCATACATTCCACCCTGAGGTTCCTTGGGTTCTCCACGCAGTGGCACCCGCAGACCTGGCAAAATAACACTCCTCTGAGAGTGGCGAGCTGATGCGAGGCATGGCACAGCTCGGCCACAGGATGATCCGTTCCCCCGCCCACTCCCGCCTCCAACGGCCCAAGATCATCAGGAGGAGGTGAGGGCCCCCTGCCAGGAGGGTCAGGTGCGCTCCTAGCAGGGAGGGCATGAATTCGCTGATTTATCTCAGCACGGGGTTTGCAAATACAAGGCCAAAATTCACAGAGGGGCCGCGACGTGCGAACGAGCGGGCACACCAACGACACTTAAAGGACGAGGAACGCACCACACACTCATGACCCGAGTCACGGAGTCTGCACAGGCGCTCATCCAGAGACCTCACAGAGGCACGGGTGCGTCCTATTCGTCGTAATTTCTCACGATCAGAGCAAAATAAAACCTCCCTCTGGACAGACAGAAGGCGGCCCAAAACCTTGAATGCCCGCTCGTCGGCCTGGAGGGTCTGTTGGGCCGCATCTTCTGTCACCTGGCCAGCATCAGCAGCCTTACCCGCAAAAAAATCAGCGGCTTCATTGAGGTAGACCTCAGTGTCGCTCAAAACCATGTTAAACGCCTGAGCCTGGGTGGGGTGACCTTTGGTCCAACGAACATCAACCGTACCGCCCCGAGCCCCCAGGACCTCATGGTATATCTTCCACAGATCCAGCATAGACGATTTAGCCTTCATGCTTCGGGGGCGACGCACACCTTTCACGACGGCCATACTGTCTGAATATACTCTGACATTGCCAGTTGAGCGCATAACCAGCTGTACAAGTGCAAATAATTCGGCCCGACCAGCAGACTGCACCTTAGTTGGCAGTGTCCCACTGGCAACGCCGTCAAAGAGGCCAGCAGGTCCTTGGTGGACGATCGCCCATCCACATCGCCTAAGTCGCCAGTCTTTATGATACCTACCACCGCTGCCGTCAATTCCCCAGACACCCCCATCCACGCGGGCCCCCGCACTCAACTTTCCCCAATCCCAAGAGAGCTCCATGGGCTCGGGAAGGCGGCCAACACTGGCGGACAAGGGCGGAAGCCCACGCATCCAGAAACAGGAGGCTTCAGGAGAACTCAGAGCTTCAGTCTTAAACTCATTCGATCGGTCGATCGCACAGTCGGGGATATCATCATTACATCTGCAGGACCAAAATCGATGGGCAGCAGTTTCGGCCTCGAGGCCGCACCTAGGGCACTTGCCATTAGTAGAGGACTCGTAGCCCGCCTTAGCAAGTCGGTCCTCAGTCAAAAACCCAGCGGCCAAAACATTTCTGACCATTCCAGCGGCTTCAAAGGAGCCATCCCTTTCAAGTTTCCTCAAAAACATCCGAGGGGCAGTGAAATCAACTCCTCCTCCTAAACCAGCTCCTTCATAATGTTTAGCAGCCCCGCTCCACGACATGTCCCCGCACACCTCCATGAGCGTGCTCCAGAGGGCGTGGGGGAAGGCCAGGTCGCTGGAGCGAACGTGCATTCCATGGGGAAAAATCCCATATGCTGGGCTACGCGGCACCACATTGAGGTCGAGGAGCACCGCAATTGTAGCGGCCAAAAGGACCACGCACACATTGCCACCGATGCTTTGTCTTGCCGAACTTCGCAACTACAATGTCCCAGCATCGAGAAACCTCCATTCGTTTAGAGTGCGCAAGGTCCTGCCAAACATCGTAGAAACTCACAAGCTGCTCATCGCGAAGCCTAAACTGGGGGTCATCCCTGGCAGGACTGATAAGCCCCAACACGGTGGCAGTGCAGGCCCCAGGGTTCCATCTACCACTGCACATGGCCGCTTGGGCTCCCATAGGCTGGATTTGCCCTGGAGTAAGCCCCAACACCTGGTGGGGCCACGAGCCGACCGCAAGGACCCCAGGTTTGTACAATCGCCTCGCGGATCCAACAATACGGGCCACACAAGCAACCTTTTTAGCCTTCTTGGAGGCCTGGCTACGTCGTTGCATTAACTTCACAGTAGATCTCTTTTTACCCGCCGTGGTCATGACCCCCAGATCTCGAGTTGCAACCTGTAATTGAATATGCAACCCTGTCGCCCTGAAACGGGCTGCAAGCTCACGTCCAAGGTCGGTATGGCTGCACACAAGAGCAGACTTGCCAGAAATGGTGCAACCAACTTCTTCAAGCTGGTGGGTCAACAACATGGCGGCAGGCACTAGAGAGTCCAAAATATCCTTCATATTTCCAACCTGAGACTGGGTAATATCGTCAACATAGGATTTAACCTGGACGGGGCGATATTGTACATGAGCCAAGTCCAGGATATCATACAAGTAAATCTTAACCCATGACATGGATCGCATGCACCCCGCCAGGATACCCCGCCCAGGGGGAATAATATCAGAAACAAAACCACCAACCTCCAGAACACGAGGGGATTCATGAATCATAACACCAAGATAGAGGAGGTGGAGCGGGCAGTCCATCTTCACTGCAAACTCAATCAGCCTGTGCGGCTGGACAGTGTCGAAAAAACGCTTGAGGTCCCAGTGGGCTCCGACCGAGCAGAGCCCCAACATACGAGCCATCTCATGGCCGAGCTCGCGAAGTAAGACGGCCTGGAGCGCGCTGGGTCCTCTCACAGCGGTGTCCCAATAATTATACCTGTCCAACGTCCATCTATCAAGAACAGAGTTACGATCCTTGCAGTAAACCCTGTACAGGGTAGGGCATTTACAAATCGGACGATCACACTCAATATTTTTAGGAAGCAAAGCAATAACACTAAGATAAACCTGGGACGGCCAGGACAGCGAAGCTTCACACTGATTGAGGAGATGCGCGCACCCCAAAACAGCATCCCTAGGTAGGTCAACCAACGCCCGAGGAGCCCAAGAGTCGACCCCAACCGCAGTAGTGTTGGAAAAACACCTCGCAGCTGTCAACACATCAATGGGTTCCAAGGGGCCCAACAACTCAATGGACATGAGGGCACGAGGTCTGAGCGCATCCAGCACTCCAGAGAACAAAGACATCCCATCGGGGGAATCCCAAACTTGGCTCCAGAAAGCCTGCCGATAATCCAAGAGATCCCCAGGGAGCTGGCGGACCCCTGGAGGGGCCAACAAGACTTGGGGCGGTTCCCCAAGGTCGTGTTTCAACCAAGCATGCACCTTTGTCGCACCTTTGGGAAGGGCTTTCAGGAGCCAGTCTTTCATCCGAGCTCTGGACAAGCTCCTCGCAGCCTTCCAGGCAGCGCTCACGCGAGTAGAAATAGCACCCGTCAAGGCGTCGAGTCCTTCGACCTCAGTGGGAAGCGAACAAAACTGGGCACGCCACCAGCCGATGCCGCACGCATCGTCGGCACAGATGCATGTGTCCAGCTGCGAAGCCAAATCTTAAAGGACGCTACCTAAGCTCGCGACCATGTGCAAAGACTTTATTACCAGGTAAAGTCGATATTCGTACATCGTTTGAGATACTTTGGCCCAATAAGCCAGTTCAGGTTCACGAAAACTTTGGCCAGCAGGGCCCCTCCGTCCAATTGTCGCTCGTCGAAAAACTGGAAAATCACCTCGCTTTACCTGGCACGCACTGTGATCGACTGCAACCGCACGATACTCAAACATGGCTTCGGTCGCTCTAGACCAAGTGCGATACATAGACGAAAGCTTATCACTTAAATTGCCCTGAACATGCTGCACCAGTGCATTGAAAAGATACCCAGGAACTTCAGGCAGCACTCTTTCACGCCCAAGACTAGCAGCGGCGGTTAGGAGATGCTGTGACCAGGGTAAATCAGGCCCAGGACAATTAGGGAACGGTATAGGTTTACCACGTTGCCACATATGCTGCCCCAGAGCTTCACGTTGCATGCAAACTTTCAGGCAGACATGACTTTTGAAGGGGCTATGAGTATATGTACTAACATGGACGTAATCAGCCAAGTCGCTGGAAGCGATAACATAATCAATAAGTGTGCCGCGTCCCTGGGTACAAGTGAACTCGACATCTTCTGGTACTAGGCAGCGTGCACGAGCAAGCTTCGGGAAACCAGACAGGTCCATGTCGCTCACTGGTACATTGAAATCTCCCATCAAGAGCCAGGGGATGGCGAGGGTCCCAAGGAACTCGGAAACGGCACGGATACGCTCAATGGTTTCCCCCGAAAAACCCAGGTCAGCAATCAAATAAATCACACCTACAGCAATGACACATTCTTTGGTTTTGAGCTCCAAAAACTGCCAGTTGAGGACACTGCCAAAATCTGACAAGCTCGGACCCGAGGACAAAAAACGTCGGATACACAATCCTTTGGAAACCACGGCTCCTACTCCTCCATGAGTGCCCCCTCCAGGGGAGGGGAGGGCTGGTCTCAGATGCGGCCTCCAGCCAATCTGAGCTGCATTGCGTTTGGCGCGCGGGAGGTCCTTCAGAAGATGATGATCAGCAACAAAGGAGCCGTCGCACAAGGGCTTAATCTGCTGCAAGAAATCCAATGTCACCTGATTACATGATGTGATATTGTAGAACATCAACTCAATTGCCGAGGACTGATTGCGAAGCCTCGACGCCTCCAGCGCGCCAAGTTGGCTAGGAACGCTGTAAACCAGATGCTTGCCCACCGCCAGCTTGAGAACGTGCGGGTCCAGCGGTGCATGGCTGCATCTGTTCCAATACACGGTTGAAAGAGGCCGCGGCGCCATCGCGAACAGTACGGAGACGCTTGGCGGCCTTGATGTGGGACTGCTTCTGCATGAGCTTCTCGAACTTAACCAATTCTTCTGGGGATAAGGCTGCATCAATACTACGCTTCTTGAGCTGCTCGAGCTCGGCGCGATTCTGCTCCTCATCACCCAAATCAGAAGGAGCTTCTGAAGCCGCGTCTTGATCCAGGTGGGTCCTGAACTCCTTGATCTGCAACCAGAACTCGAAGCGCTGGTTGAACTTGGTACACCAATCTTGCAACTCTTGACGAGACATACCCACAATACCTGGGGGTTCAGGAACTGGGCCAGCAACTCCACCAACTTCACTAGCAGCTGGATGGCCACCAGCGGGGGGGTGAACTTGCCCAGGTCGCGAGGAAGGGGAATCACCATCAACTTGCATATCTTGAGCACCCCCTGCAGCAGGGGCGACATGTCCACGTGCATCAGCAGCACGGCACTCACGCTCATGTAGATCACGTTTAGCTTGTTCTTCAGCCACCACCTGCCGTCTGTACTCCAGTGGGTCGAAATTGTCCAACTCAACGTAGGCGGCTTTGTGGGCCGCAGCGGCGCTCTCCAAGTTCTGGACAGCCTCCGCGTGCGCCATCTCCGCCTTGGCCAGGGCGTCTTTATGGCGTAATACAGCCGCCAGACGTTGTTCCACCTCATGTAATGCCAAATGCTCAGCATTAGAATCACGTTCAACTGCCATGGCAAGGGCGGTACGCTGCTTGGCCACCTTCCTGTCCAACTCGTTGTCGGACGACGCCACAGGCTCAGGGCCAGGAGCGTGCGGACCTTGGCCACGAGCACCTCGAAGAGCTTCAGCACGATCAGGGAAAAGTGTGGCGAAGGCGTCGTCCAGCGAAGTGCCTTGCACATGCCCTCTGCTTTTGCGCCAACGGCCCACGCCGCGCTTGTCACCAACATCACGAACTCCACTATGCGGCTGGCCGAGGTACTCACCTTTGCACTTGGAGCAGCACTTGCGTCCATGGAAATCGTACTCCCAGTGCCCACAGAGCGCACAAACGCTGTACGCCTGTTTCGTTTGCGGGCCAAGGCCACCTCAGAGGAGGAGGAGAAGGAGGAGGAGAAGGAGGAGGAGGAGGCGTCTCCGGGGGAGGCTGAGGAAGGCTCCCCGGGAGCCACCGGCCCGATATACCTCCCCCCATCCAGGGGGGGGTGCCGGGCCCTCCCCCAGGGGGCCGAATCCTTCACCGCGCGCAGCTCGTCCTGGATGTCCTGGAAGCTGCCTGACCGAGAAAACAAAGCTGCCTCCACGCCCTCGCGGTCTGGACTCTGGGCCTCGGTCCCGCGGATGCACGGTCGCACGGGCACGCTCCGCGCGGGGCGTCCGCGAAGAGTCGCTCAGGGGTAGGCAGCCCAGGAAGGACGTACACCCTGCGAAATGCTTAAGAAATCATGGGTTAAGAAATTCAGAGTCTCAGAACTTGAATAAAAACCCTACGTTTCAATTAAAATCTTAAGATTTACATTGAAACGTTAAGAATTATCGAGACTCTGGCCGAAAACTTAAGTTTTCTTAAGCATCACCTAAGGTGTACGCGCCCAATCATGTACACGAACATGACCCCCCAATCCGCGAGACCGGCCACGTGATACCAACGTTCGCGCAATGTGTACTCTCGAAACCGACGTGGGTTCATGTACGTGTACGTCCTTCTTTCGCTCCTGACAGGGGCCCGGCCCGCGAGGCCGCAGATACAGATGTATCAGAAGCCTCCAAGATTGGTCGGGGTAGATGAGTAGATGGGGTCGGAGGATCGCGCAGCATCGCCGATACATCGGCGATACATCGTCGATGCATCGGCGGTGCATCGGCGACATCGGAACAGAAACAATGGTCGAGCGCAGAGTGGACGCGCACAAGGCGCGCGCAAGACGACTTGTGCAGAGAAGTGTTTGTCCAACCGATGTGCGAGCACGAGTCCGCTGGTCCCAGGGGGGCAAGAACGCGGCAGGAGCACGCGGATCGACGCCCGGAGCCCCACGCAAGAGCCAACACGAGACCGCACCAAGACATCCCGCACAAGACCTCGCACAGGACCTCGCGCAGGACCACTCTCTCTGTTGAACACAACAGATGCATCGTTCGCCCATAAGCTGCCCTGGAGGGCGGAAGCGCGCCGCGCGGTGGAGCCGCCGACCGACGGCGCCGGGGGCCGCCGCGGCCTGCCCGCGGCGCTGCCGGGCGGCCTCGGCGCAGCGGCGGACCGCGGGGAGCACGCCCCGCTGCCCACGTCGAGGCCTGGAGAGCAGGAGGCTCTCGAGGGGCCCAGGAAGACATGAATGCAGTACAGCCAACCCGTACCATGAGGCCTCCTCCTCCTCCTCCTCCTCCTCCTCCTCCTCCTCCTCCTTCCTCCTCCTCCTCCATCCTCCTTATCCCCTTATCCTCCTCCTCCTCCTCCTCCTCCTCCTCCTCCTCCTCCTCCTCCTCCTCCTCCTCCTCCTCCTCCTCCTCCTCCTCCTCCTCCTCCCTACCCCCTCCTCCCTACCCCCTCTTCCCCCTTCCGCTTCCTCCTCCCACTCAGTCGGCCTGTGTCATGAGGATGCGCGGTAAGCATGCAAGGGCATCGGACGCCCACTTCGAAGCTTTTCGGGCGAGGCGCTGCCAACGGAGGTTGTGGAGGATCGGCCGAGGAGGCAGGGATGCAGGGGTAAGCTTGGGAAGGTTGCCCATCCTCATTATGCGGGTCGACCGTACTGCAGGAGAGCTCGACCACAAGAAACCGTATACAAGAAATCCAACCCTGAGACCCCAGGACGACCATTGACCTTTGGCGTGGAGACGTCACGCTTTCCATCGCAAAACCGTCGAAATCCGAGAACCCCGTGGCACCCTGGAGGCAAGCAGGGTGTTTCTTGGCATGGACCTCCACCGTACACATCGGGGCTCAAGAGACGGGGGTCAGTGCAAACGGGGGTCAGTCAGAGCGCCGGAACTTGCAACATCCTGCAGAGCCAGGGTCGCACTGACCCAGGCTTGGGTGCAGGATCCTGCAGGAGATCGCAGGATCTTGCAGGATTCTGCCACGCCCGACCGACCCTGGCTTGGATTGGGCCGGGTCATTCTATCCTCGAACACATGCAGCTGGACCTATGCCAGAAGAACGCCCTTCAAGAACATGCGACCCTCCGTTGGCCAAGCTGGAAAACATTCGAGAGTACCCTCCCCCAGGATGCACAGGAGCGTCCAATAAACACGAAGAGCATTAGGGCACCCTCCCCGAACCGACCTCGATCTTATCCATCGGTCCGACGGTACACAAATTCCCGGATCCCCAATGTATCACAATATGTTCTGGCTGTTCGTCACCCCTCAACTAGGAGGAGGAGGAGGAGGAGGAGGAGGAGGAGGAGAAGAAGGAAGAGGAGGAAGAGGAGGAGGAGGAGGAGGAGGAAGGAGGAGGAGGAGGAGGGAGGGCTCCGAGGGCTCTGATGAGACCTGTCGTTCAATGACCACTGGCATGCAAGCCGAGGCAACCCCAACGGGCCGCCATGCCGAGCACCGAGCCCGATGAGGAGGAGGGAGGAGGAGTAGAAGGAGAAGGAGGAGGAGGAGTAGAAGGAGGAGGAGGAGGAGGACAAGGAGGAACGAGGAGGACGAGGAGGAGGAGGAGGAGGAGAAGGGCCCATGTCTTCCCACATGCTCCTGGGAACCTACGCTTCTTAAGGTGTCTCCCCTGCTGCAGTGGTCGGAGGAGAGCCAGTCGAGGCAACGGCGACCCTCCCCACGGCGACCCTCCCCAGGGCCCTGCTCCTCCTCCTCCTCCTCCTCCACCTCCTCCTCCTCCTCCTCCTCCACCTCCTCCTGCTCCTCCTCCTCCTCCTCCTCCTCCACCTCCACCCTCCACCTCCTCCTCCTCCACCTCCACCTCCACCTCCTCCTCCCCTCCTCCTCCTCCTCCTCCTCCTCTCCTCCTCCTCCTCTCCTCCATCTCCCCTCCTCCTCCTCATCCTCCTCCTCCTCCTCCTCCTCCTCCTCCTCATCTTCCTCCTCCTCCTTCCTCCTCCTCCTCCTCCTCCTCCTCCTCCCTCCTCCTCCTCCTCCTCCTCTTCCTCCACCTCCCTCCTCCTCCTCCTCCTCCTCCTCCTCCTCCTCCTCCTCCTCCTCCTCCCCCCTCCTCCCCTCCTCCTCCTCCTCCTCCTCCTCCTCCTCCTCCTCCTCCTCCTCCTCCTCTTCTTATTCTTATTATTTTATTATTATATTATTAATTATTATTATTATTATATTAATTATTATTATTATTATTTCTGATTAGTAGTCTTATTATTCTTCTTATTATTCCTTCCTCCCTCCTCCTCCTCCTCCTCCTCCTCCCTCGCCTCCTCCTCCTCCTCCTCCTCCTCCTCGTCTCTCCTCCTCCTCCTCCTCCCTCGCTCCCTCGCCCTCGCTCGCTCCTCGCTTCGCTCCTCGCTCCCTCGCTCCCTCGCTCCCTCGCTCCCTCGCTCCCGCGCCTCGCTCACCTCGCTCCCTCGCTCCCTCGCTCCCTCGCCTCCCTCATCCCTCGCTCCTCGCTCCCTCGCTCCCTCGCTGCCCCGCTCCCTCGCTCCCTCGCTCCCTCGCTCCCTCGCTCCCTCGCTCCCTCCTCCTCCCTCCCTCCCCCTCCCTCCCTCCCTCCCTCCCCCCTCCTCCCTCTTCCTTCCTCCCTCCACCCTCCTCCTTCCTCCCTCCTCCATCCTCCCTCCCCCCTCCTCCCTCGGTAGCCGTTTTGGCTCAAGCCGCCGCCCCGGACCGAGGTGTTTGGAACTGCTCCAGGAGCAGCGCACCTCGCGCGGGGCTGGCTGCCATGCGCGCCGGCCGCCTCGCCTCGCCCTGCCCAGGCGAGTGGAGGGCTAGCCGCGCGCGACGAGGCTTCTCCGGCCGGCGCTGCTGCAGCCAGCCGAGGCCGGACCTCCGCGCCCCTGCGCGGAGACTCGGCTACGCGGCCCGCGTCGGCCGCCGCCCGCACATGCAGGACGTCGCAGCGCTGGTCGCCGCGCTGGTTCGCCGTCCCGTTCTGCTTTCACCTGCTGTGCGGCAGTCTAACGTGTCGCCACCGGACGACCATCAACGTGTGCTACTTGATGCCGGTCCTGTACATGCAGATGGTGATGCTGCGGGTGCCAAGGTGGCCGAGGCCGCATGGTGCTGGCTGCCCGGAGCGCTGCCGCCCCCGGCGCCCAGCGCGCCGATCTGGTGGCCCTCGCCGCCGCCGCCGCGGCTGACGACGCTGAGTGCCGCCGATCTGCCGTTGGTCGGGCCGCCGCCAGCATACGCCCCACCGTTCTTTGTGGAGCGCAGCCTGCCGCCGCCGCCAGCGGATGACGACGCTGAGGACGGCCCTAACGTTGCTGCCGACTCGTCTGATGAGTCCGACAGCACGGTCGACTCCACTGAATTCGTGTATCCTCGGTCGCTCGGAGCACGGATACCACATCGTGCGGGGCCGTCCTTGGAGGACCGTCCTGGGGGAGTGCCACAACTGGCCGAGCGCCAGAGCGCAGACCCCGAAGCCGGGGGAGTGCCTCAACTGGCCCAGCGCCAGGGTGCAAACCCCGAAGCCTCCGTGGAGGAGGGTGATTTGCGGGAGGATGAGCGCGTTCTGCCTCGTGCCGGACCGCCTGCGCGTCCCGATGGAGCTGCGTTTCCGGAGGCTCTGGAACGTGCTGCCTCGCAACTGGCGCTGGCGGAGGCGGTGGCTGCCCCGCCCTCGGCGCTGGCTGCGGCCCCGTTGCTGGTGGTGGCGTTGGCCAAGTCTTGCGCGGCCGAGGGCCTGTTCCCGTGGCTCGCCTTCCCGACGATTTCGCGGCCATGTGGCGGATTCGCCTTGACTTCCTCATGCAGGATGAGGGCGAGACCGATGTTGCAGCCTTCCTAGGCAAGTGGACCCAGTTCAAGGTGCACCAGGACAACGACGGGGGCCTACATGGCGCAGCTGGCACATCCCGGCGAGCCAGCCCTGCCGCATGCAGCGGCCCAGGCCGACCCGCTGGGGGCTGCGGGCCCGCTGGACGCGCGGGAGCTTGCTGCTGCTGCTGGAGCTCCGGAGTTTGCTGCTGCGGCGGCCGGTCGCGCTCGTGAGCCGCCGAGCCCGGAGCAGACGTCTGGCGCCTGGAGCAATGTAGTTTGCCGTGAGCGTATGATTTTGTTGCCCTCCAGCCGCCCGCCCGTTCAAATATTCGGTTTGCAGTGGAAATGGGTCCGTGTGCAGCGAACCCCAATAGTTTCTACTCCTCTTGTTCGCTGCGAGCCCATATCATCAGCTGCTCGCATTGCTGCCATAGTGAATGATGATCTGTTTGCTCGGCACGTGCGTAGGTGGGTGCAGCCAGGGCCTCTGCCCACTCCCGAGAATGGCAAGACTGGTCTATCCAGAACCCCCTCCCTAGGAGAAGGAGGCTCGACTGATCAGCAGATGGACCTGCCACGTTTCTCCCCCTCGGCATAGCGCGATGACAATCGCGTCTGTGCCTCGCGTGGGTGCGAAGATAACTACCCTGCTTCCCTCACTGTACTGCCTAGGAGATGTGGTCCTAGCCTTTCCTCCTTCCTAGCTTTGCAGGATGTAGTCATGAGCATGCAGCATGTGTGTCCCAAACGTCGTGTTGCCCACTCCTTCCCCATCCTGATCAGCGAGTATCTCGCGTGGTCGACGTGCTGTGCTGTCACACACGTCCATGATAGATGGGCGGAGGGATTGGAGGGTGTCGGTGGGAGGATCGGTGTGGGAATGGTGTTGGAATTTCTGGATACGTAGTCGTCACTCTTTGGCTACTACGTGCAGACGATGGCGGCTGCCAGTCAGATGTGTCCCAGCCTTGACCCCACTCGTTTTCTGCTGCTCCGAGATTGGAGGTTTAGGATTTGTGTCCCAGTCTCACTCTCTCTTCTCGGTTTCATATACCATCATCCCCTCTGTACCTGCCTACCTGAAATTGTGCAGCCTGTATTTACAAGGGACACAGCGTTACGGAGGTGATCGGTATGCGTCCCAGCCTCTTCCCTTCCGCTCGTTGCTGCCATCCTTCCGAGGCTGGAGGTTTGAGATGTGCGTCCCAGTCCCGCACTTCCTTCTCGGCTTTATCTGTATGTGGTTTCCCTCCCTTCCTCCCTCCCCTCCCCCTCCCGAGTGGACAAGAGCCACGACGCGGTCGTCGTTTCTTTGTTCGACCCGATGCCGGCCACTTGATTTGAGAGAGGAATGATTCGGGGGACGCTGACGGGATGGGACTGAGGGTGAGTTTAGGTCTGTTGGTGGGGACGAGGGTTGCACTGCGGCGTTGGTGCAGGCACGGGCCGCAGGTCGAGCGTGCGACTATCGTGCGCTCCCGCAGGCCCCTGCCTTGCGCCAGCCCACTAAGCTGGCGTTCGGCCCTTCGCAGGCCATCTCACTTGCTCCCCTCTTTGATATGCCTCCTCTTGCCTCCTCCCTCCTCCTGCGGCGTTGTGATGCGCCATGAGCGCCTTCAGACGATGAGGGGGGGGGTAGGACAGGACAGGAGCTGGGAGACTTACCAAACCTTGGCGCCCGTGCTGCATGTACGCACAATTGCAGCAGCTAGTGACTGCCGCACTGAACTGACCATCTCCTCGGCGAATCAGAGCGCAATCCAAAATTCTCCTCCCTCCTCCCTCCTCCCTCCTCCCTCCTCCCTCCTCCCTCCCTCCTCCTCCTCCTCCTCCTCCTCCTCCTCCTCCCTCCTCCCTCCTCTCTCCTCCCCGCTCCCTCCTACCTCCTCCCTCCTTCTCGTCCTCCTCCGTCTCCTCCCCCCTCCTCCTCCTCCTCCTCCTCCTCCTCCTCCTCCTCATCCTCCTCTTCTTACTCCTCCTCCTCCTCCGCCTCCTCATCCTCCTCCTCCTCGGCTCCTCCTCCTCCTCCTCCTCCTCCTCCTCCTCCTCGGCGCGTCCACGAGGCAAGCGCGAGAGGGGGCGCCATGTCAGCGCCTCGCGGCGAGAAATGTGGGCCCCGTCCCGCTCCCGCCACGCACTGTGCAGCATGGACGGCACAAAGTCGCAGGCCTAGAAGTTGACACCAACACCAATATCGGCGGTGTGCCTCCACCGAGGGAAAGATCCCGATCTCTGCGATGGTGGTCATATTCCAGCTTCCAAGGTGGCCGAAATACTACCACCAACACTGAAATCTAGGATCATCTTCACCCTGTGGAGGCAAACCCCTGTGTTGGTGTTGGTGCCCATTTCCAGGCCTCCAACAATGTCCATGATGTAAGCGAAAATGTACTCTGGGTTTCGTAATAAGCGTGGGGGAGTACCCCCCCGACGGGGGTCAACCTCGCCTCGTCTTCGCGCCGCGACGGGGGGGTCGGAGCGCCTTCGGCGCGCGGTGGCTGCCCGCGACGACGGGGGTCGATGCGAGGCTGTCGGCGGAGGTGACGCCCCCCCGACGCTGATCAAGAAACTCAGAGTAGATTTTGCATTGTCTTTAGCCGGCAGGATGGGAGGTCCGGGACTGGCCAGCTATCGGCCGGTTTCGTAGCAGAGTATGCGTTTTGTCTGATTAGGAGTAAGGATCAGGACTCAAGATGGAAATGGAAGCAGGAGCTGGAGCAGAATCTTGCAGGAGCAGGAGCAGGAGGAGAGGGAGGAGGAGGAGGAGGAGAAGGAGGAGGAGGAGGAGGAGGAGGAGCAGGAGTAGGAGGAGGAGGAGGAGGAGGAGGAGCAGGAGGAGGAGAGAAGGAGCAGGAGCAGGATCTTTCAGGAGCAGGAGCAGGAGGAAGAGGAGGAGGAAGAAGAGGAGGAGGATCAGGTGTAGATGCAAATGTCGGGTTGAGACTAGACCCCGGAGGAGAGGGTCAGGACCTGCTTCGCCACCCGCGTCGAAGCTGTCGTCCTGCTCCTCGATTTCCACAGGCGACCAGTCGTGCCGCATGCGGGTCGGGTGCCCCCGCCGGAGCAGACGCTCGAGATCATTGGCGCGCCGCTGGGCGCCTACCATGTAGTCGCCCATGACGAGGCTGCCCACCTCGAGGTCGCGGACCTCTACGCAGAAAACGCTGCACGAGCACGCGCTTTCGGAGGTCCGCGTGGATGTCTTCGATCGGCGATGGGCCCCATACCCCACCCCGTGGGGCGCAGAGCGCGCCGGGGCGTCGCCGGAGGCGCCACCAGGGTGTCCCAGCGCCGATGCGAGAAACCCGCGCGGAGCTCCGAAAGCTTGCGTTCCGCCGACGACCTTCTTCAGGTGTTCCGCGAGCTCCAGCTCGAGGCCCTCCCGCTCTTGCACGAGGCGCTCGACGTCGTCCTCGGCGGCCTCGGTGATGGCGAGCGCCTCCAGCGCGCGCTGCTCCTGGCGAGGTCGAAAGGCACCGATGGCTCTGCTCCACGGACCTCCCCCCTGCGGTGCGACCAGACCAGAATTTCGTGGCGAATGCAGTCGTGGCGGCAAGGGCCTCCCAGGAGACCCAAAAAAGCGACACCTGGGCAATGGCAGCGGCATCGGTACCTCAATGAGGTATCGATGCCGCTGCCGTTGTCCCCGCTCGCCTGGAGGACGAGTCATCCTTCAGGCGAGCGGGGACAGCGGCGGCTCAGAGTCGGTCCCCGGACCCCCTCCCGGGGCCCAAGCGCACCAACTTACAGAGCTGCGTCCAGCCGTGGCCCTCGGGCGGGCGGCAAGGGGGGGGAGGCCCAACTTGGGGGGTGAAGGACAGGGCCCTCAACTCACTCCTCCTCCTCCTCCTCCTCCTCCTCCTCCTCCTCCTCCTCCTCCTCCTCCTCCTCCTCCTCCTCCCTCCTCTCCTCCTCCTCCTCCTCCTCCTCCTCCTCCTCCTCCTCCTCCTCCTCCTCCTCCTCCTCCTCCTCCTCCTCCTCCTCCCTCCTCCTCCTCCTCCTCCTCCTCCTCCTCCTCCTCCTCTATTCCTGTTCCTTATGAGTCATTTCTTCCCGTCGCACCCCGAGGCCAGCTTTTAGGGCGGGCCGGGCAATTCGCCCGAGACGTCCTCACCACCAGTGACTCTGAAGCCCCTCGGGGGCCCCTGCTGGCTGCCCGCTGGAGGCCCCAAAAGGCTCCGTCTATAGGGCCCCTGTGCTGCCCCCCCCCCCCCTGCAGGTCACCCCCCAGGGCCACCCGCCCGACCCCCGACGAAGGCCGGCTGCCGCCATCTCAGCTCGCCCTCCCCGGAGCTCCTGGGCCAGCTGCCGCTGCTCCAGCACCCGCTCGTTGGTCGCCCTGGCCTCCCTCACGGCGCCCTCGGCCTCGGCCAGCAGCGCCTGGACGCCTCCGTCGGCCCGCTTCGCGGCCGCCCGGCCCCTCGCCTAGGGGGAGACGGGGGGCGAACGGCAGCCAGGACGAGCATTCACTTGAAGACTGCTCCCTCGTGTCTGCTCGCGCGCGCCGCGCGGCAGCAGATCCCGGTCCCTGGATGCCCGCCCCCTTCGTCTTTCATCGTACCCGCCCTCTTCGTCGTCTTTGATCGCACCCCCGTTGGGGACACATCTTCCTTGCCTGCCACGTGCAGGTGGCGCGGCCCCTCAAGAAAGGAAAGTGTTGAGGCTCGGGCTGGGGCTGTGCCTCTGGCCCCCAGGTTACAGCAGCAGCACTACGTTTCAAAACTGGTCGCTCTTACCCGCTCGCGTGTCCATCAACATGTGTCTCCCAAGCCCTCGATACCCGCCCTCGTCGTCTTCGATCATGCCCTCCTGTGGGGGTATTCTCACGACCTGCCACGTGCATGTGGCGCAGCCCCTAGGACAGGGGAAGGGAGGAGGGAAGGGACAAGGGGGATGGAGAAGGATGGAGCACGACAGAAACTAGCAGAGGGTTTAGGAACACAAAAACGGCAAAACCAGACGGGCACGTCGGGCGGGCGGACCCTAACGGGTGGGTCGAGCGGGCGGGTCGCTGAAGCGTCAGCCCTGCATGAATCGCGAGGAAGTCTCGAGCGACAACGCAATTCCATAGCGAATCGCGAGGAAGTCCACAGCAAGGGCGTGACTCCTAACTGTCGAAGGCGCGGCGCTTCAATAAATTACAAGAAGTCGCACATGAGAGCGCGAGTCCTGCACAGATTCTAAGGACGTCGCGCGCGAGAGCGCGACCTGGGATAACTCATGAGGAAGCATCAGGCGGGAACCGCTGTTATTGTAAACCGGGGGCAGGGAGGCCAACCTGAGCCTTAGGACTTTGCCTCGCAAACAAGGGCGCGGACCCTGGGAAGAGGCATTTCAATTAAAAAGCACACTGGGAAACCAGGAAGGGGATCAGGCATAAAATTTCTTCAGACATGACAATTCGATACGTTTGGGGCTGTTCGCTCTGATCTGCTCGCGTGTCACGCAACATGTGTGTCCCAAACCCTCGATGCCCGCCCTTCTCGTCGTCATGCATACCCCCCCCCAGAAAGGGGGTATATCTTCCTGGCCTCCAAGACGGCCCTGGAGCACCCAAAAAAAGGCTCCAAGTCGGCCCAGAGAGGCCCCCAAGACGGCGTCCGACGGCTGCAGAGGGACCAGGAACGCCCTAAGACGGGCACAGAGGCCCCCGAGAAGCCCCCGAAGGCCCCCAAAAGGCTCAAGGAGGCCCCCACAATGCTCCCAGGAAGCTCCCAGGAGGCCTCAAGAGTGCCCCCAGAGGCCCCCAAGGTGCCCCATCCTCCTCCTTTTTCCTCCTCCTCCTCCTCCTCCTCCTCCTCCTCCTCCTCCTCCTCCTCCTCCTCCTCCTCCTCCTCCTCCTCCTCCTCCTCCTCCTCCTCCTCCTCCTCCTCCTCCTCCTCCTCCTCCTCCTCCTCCTCCTCCTCCTCCTCCTCCTCCTCCTCCTCCTCCTCCTCTCACTCCTCCTCCTCCTCCCTCCTCCTCCTCCTCCTCCTCCTCCTCCTCCTCCTCCTCCTCCTCCTCCTCCTCCTCCTCCTCCTCCTCCTCCTCCTCCCTCCTCCTCCTCCTCCTCCTCCTCCTCCTCCTCCTCCTCCTCCTCCTCCTCCTCCTCCTCCCTCCTCCTCCTCCTCCTCCTCCTCCTCCTCCTCCTCCTCCTCCTCCTCCTCCCTCCTCCTCCCCTCCTCCTCCTCCTCCTCCTCCTCCTCCTCCTCCTCCTCCTCCTCCTCCTCCTCCTCCTCCTCCTCCTCCTTCTCCTCCTCCTCCTCCTCCTCCTCCTCCTCCTCCTCCTCCTCCTGATGTTCTCCGCCATCCTCCCCCAAGTGGTGTTCCCCGAAGGGTTTCCACAACGGCTTGGGGAACACACGGTCCGATAGCTTGGCAGAGCCCTTGCCACAACATCCAGCCACAAGGGTGATTCCAAAAGGCAGTTTCGGCGGTGATTCGCCGTAGGCGTCTTCGATACGAACAAGGAGCGTCGTTGTTGTAGGGAAGCTGGTTTGCGGCGGCAAGGCGCGAGCGCCATTCCTGAGCAAAAAACCATGGGACGATCCAGCGGGAGCACTGATCTTGTCGGGGAGGCAGCTGCCAACGGCGATCAAGAGCGCTAGTCTTCGGTAAAGAGCGAGGACGTATCGAACGGCAGCGTCGTTGGCGTAGGGGGGCCGTTTGGGGACCCAAGGCGCGAACCCCACTCCTGGGCACAAAGCGACGAAGTATCGAGCGGGAGTGCTGGCGCTGTTGGAGGGGCGGCTGTCGGCGGCGAGCAAGACCACTGGCTTTGAGCAATCGGCGAGGAGGTAGATTGCGGGAGCGTCGTTGTTGTAGAGAGGGCGGCTTGCGGACTCAAAACGCCAACGCCACTCCTGAGCAAGACCCCAGAGAGTATGCAGCGGCAACGGTGGTTTTGCTTGAGAGCCAGCTTTCGGCGGCGAGCAACGGCACCGGCCCTGGGCGCGAAAACCGAGGAAATAACGAGCGTGAGCCTTGCTGGTTGAATTCGCATGTCTCAATAAGTATTGCGGATCCACCCCTGCGGTGCCCAGAGTGTCTTTGAGATGTCTGAAATGATCCAGCCAAGGCTCCCACCTGGTCTTTCACAAAGAAAAGTACTGGGCCTCAGACTGAGCCCCTAGCCCCGAACTACAACAACAGCAACATCAAAACAGCAGCAGCCATAACAACAACAATAATAATCGGTTTCAGGCTGTTCACTCTCATCTGCTCGGGTGCCATCCGAAATATATATATATATATATATATCCCAAACCCTCGATACCCGCCCTCTTCGTCTTCGATGGTATCCCCTTGGGGGTATATCTTCTTTACCTGGCACGTGTATGTGATGCCCACTAGCTTTTAGCGGAAGAGGTTCGCTCTCGCCCCGCAGATCAAAAAAAAAGTGTATGTGATGCCCACCCCCTAAAGCAGGGGAAGAGAGGACGGATGGAGGGAAGGGACAGCGGGGAGGGAGAAGGATGGAGCACGAGAGAGAGCAGGAGGGGGGCTAGGAGGAGAAAACATGTGGAACCAGACGGGCAGATCGGGCGGGTAGACGCTAATGAACGGGTCAGGAAGGCGGGCCCAGGCGGCCAGGTCGAGCAGGCGGGTTGCTGAAGCGTGAGTCCTGCATGAACCGCAAGGAAGTCTCGAGTGATAGCGAGGATCCCAAGTGAATGATAAGAGAAGCCAAAGCGAGAGCCTGATTCCTGAGTGTCAAGGGCGCGGCGTTGTCATAACTTGCAAGGAAATACCATGCGAGAACGCGATTCCTGCATACATGGTGAGGAAGCCCCGTGTGACAGCGCGATTCCCACATGATTTGTGAAGAAGTATCAGGCGGGAACGTTTTTATTATTGTTCGGGGCCAACAACGCATTCTCAGTCCCAAGACTTCCCATTGTAAAAAACAAGGCGCGAGCCCCAGGAGGAAAATTTCAATAGAATGGACACCAGACGGGGGATCAACAACAATTATTCTTTCAATGTGAAAACTCCACAACGGGCCCCACCTGCTACTTCCTCACAATAGATGCAAAAACGCGCCCTCGCGCGAGACGCCCTGACAATTCATCCAGGAATCGCGCTTTTGAACTTCCACGCAAGTTAAGCATCCAAACGCCGCGCCCTCAACACTCAGGAAATACGCTCTCGCTCAGACCCTCCTAACGACTTACTTAGGAATCGCGCTATCGCTCAAGACTCCATCGCAATTCATGCAAGACTTTCGCTTCATCGACCCGCCCGCTCTGGGCCCGCCCGCCCGACCCGCCCGTGAGGGTCCGCCCGCCCGACCCGCCCGTCTGGTTATGCCGCTTGTTTTCCTGCTTCTAACCCCCCTCCTGCAAAGCTCTCTCGTGGTCCATCCTTCTCCTTTTCCTGGGTCCCTTCCCTCCTCCCTCCGCTCCAGTGTTTTTTGGTTCATCGCGCTTGCAATCCAAAAAAATCCAGTGTTTTAGGGGCTGCGCCAACTACTCGCTGCAGGTAAGGGCGATCTGCCACCAATAGAGGCACGATCGAAGACGAAGAGGGCGGGCACCGAAGGCTTAATGTACATGTTGATGGGCACGCGAGTAGGCAGGAGTGAACAGCCTTCAAATGATGTGTATTGTAAGGGGGCCGGTTTGGGCGCAACTACGGAACGCCTGACCACGAGCCTCAATTTCTAAGAGAATGCAGCCAGTGCCAAGGCGAGTACGCAAGAGGGGCCTGAGGTGGTCAAACAAGCACAGCTGTTTAGTATGCAAAACTAGCAAAAAAAAAAAAATCATTGAAAGACTCTTCGCTCTCATCTGCTGGCGTGTCCATCAACATGTACATCAAACCTTCGATGCCCGCCCTCTTCGTCTTCGATCGTACATAGCTACTCAGCATTCAAAACTCAAAAACAACAATGATAGGACTCTTCGCTCTCATCTGCTCGCGTGTCTATCAACATGTGTATCAAACCTTCGATGCCCGCCCTCTTCGTCTTCGATCGTACCCCCCTAGGGGGTATACCTTCCTCACCTGCCACGTGTAGTTGGCGCAGGCGCAGCCCCTAAAACAGGAAGAGGAGGGAAACAGGAAGAACAGATAGCGAGGAGAAAAGGAGTGCGGGAAGGGAGGGAGGAGGGAAGGAACAAGGGCGAGGGAGAAAGATGGAGCACAAGAGAGATTAGAAGCGTCAGTCTGCGATAGCGCGAGACCCACATAAAAAGTGAAGTCCAGAGCGAGAGCGTGGGCCCTGAGTATCGCGGTCGCGGTGTCTGAAAAAATGCGAGGACGCCCCACGCGAGACCGCGATTCCTGCATAAATTATGAGGACGTCCCGCGCGAGAGAGCGATGCTGAATGCCTTGCGAGGAAGCATCAGGCAGGAGCCGTTGCTGTTGTAGCCCGGGGGCCAGTGGCCCAATCTGAGGACCCTGAAAGGAGGGTCAGGCGGGCGGGCCCAAGCGGCCGTGTCGA